TTTTTTTTTTTTTTTTTTTTTTTTAACTGTAAGCCTGGTCTTGCTAGATACATAGATGAGAATTTCTTTGCTGATAGTGATGAATAAATAAATGTATACATTTGTGTAATTGTTTTGATATTTGACTTTCACAAACTGAAATATGCTTTTCTATGTATATATTTTTTGACCAGATAATCCAAACTCAGTAAATTCAGACTTGTTTACAATCACTTTTCTATTTCAGTTATTTGTATTTGTCAGTCACTACAAGGAATGAAAAAAAATAGAGAGGGTTGAGTATGAAAGTTAATTATGAAAGAACTGATTATTCTGTAAATAGAACTTTGGAATAGAGATTTTGTGGGAAGGAAAAAAAGTTTCAGAATTTAAAATATTTGTTGCATTTGCTTCATACAAAAGAAATGTTTTTCTTACACACCCACGCCCACATAGAAGCACTTTAGTAGAAGCAATTTGGAGGTAAGCTCCTTCATATAAAAGAGATTTTAAAAATCCAATCCTGAACAATTTTATGCTAGTTTTGTTTACCATAGATTTTATGGTTTGTAAATATTGGAAACTTCATTTTCAGAACCAAGTCTATCGAGAGATTATGCATTCTGTCCAGTCAATGCCATGGATAAGCATCCCCACGGTCTCAGTGTTCCTGCTAGAGGTGAGAGGTTACAGCAAACTGTATGACAGCATAGAGGAGTTTCCATACGGTGAGTGTATAGTGTAAATGTCTGGAACAGATGGGTTTCTCTAAAGAACCAAATCTGCTTCTTTAAAGTCTTTGTTGTAGATGCAATTGTGCCCAGGGGAAGATTGGCATGATCAGAGCTAGAGCCTTGAATTTGTTTCCTATTATCTTTATTGAATTCAAACATCTGAAAAAAAAGCTCAAGTAGTACATGATATTTATAAAAAATCAGAAAACACCGATTTTTTTAAAAAATCCATTGTTCTGCTACCTGGAAACTGTAACTCTTTTGATGTATATTCTTTCTCTTTTCTATGCCTGTAATACTTCGTTATTTACATTACAGAATTGAAACCCTTACTATGCATACTGGTTTGAACTCTGATTTTTTTCTCTTAGCAGTGTTTATGCCCATATTTTCATGTCAATAAATATTGACATTATACAGTATATATTTATAGTATTGCATTGTATAGATATCTGTAGTTTATTTAAATGATCCATAATCTTTAGACCTTTAGGTAGTTCTTGGTTTTCTATTATAAACAGTACTACAGTGACTAAACTAAAATTTTGTGAAATTCTGGAATTATTTCATCAAGATACATTTCTAGTATCTAGTATTAGAAAGTAAGAATCATGGTTAACTTTTATTGTTGATATGTACCAGCTTCAGTTCTAAGCTTTTCATGTGTTACCAATCCATTTTATTCTATTAACTCTATGAGGTAGGCACTATTACAATGCTCCTTTTATAGTTGAGTAAATTAAGTGTACAGAGAATTTCAGTAACTTGCCAAGCTCACTTAACAAATAAGTGGTGGATCTGGGACTGGAATCCCAAGCTTGCTGGTGTCAGCAAGTAAGAGGTTAGTTATTTAAAGGAGAGAATAAAAATTACACACCAGTGTGCTGAATTGGCTCAGCCTTGGAAAGTGGATCAAAATATGAATAAAAATAAAAGGAGAGAGGGCATTCTAGATAGTTTGAGTAAAAGTATAGAGGTAAGACTTTGAAGATGTTGGGAGGATATTGAGTGAACCAGCCTGGTTAGTACACGAGCATATGAGGTTGGAAAGATCAGAAGGGGTTGGGTTATGGAGTAAATGCTAGGCTTACAGTATTTCAAGGGAAAATAAAATTCTAAGCAGGGAAGTTAATATGTAAAGATATGTTTTATGATGATTAATATGAAGAAAAAATAAATAGCATTATTCTCCAGCATTTAAATGATAAAGATGCCATAGGGGTTTACTCTTTCTGTTTCATAAATATCCTCATAGTTTAACAAAGAAATATTGTAGGTGGGACGCTTCAAGTTTTTATGAGAGGGAAATGAGCAGATCCCAGAGAGTCAAGGGAGATGGAGGTTGTGATGTATGGAATTAACCAAAGCAGATAGTTTACAGGGTTTATGTCTAGGCTCAAATTTTGTCTTCTTAGATGGACATGTCAAAAGTAAACTCTGATCCTGGGAGCTGAATCTTGATTCTGCCATATCCTGTTGTCTCTTGTAGGCTGGTTTCGATTCATTGCTAGTGTACTGTCCTTTCTCTTTTTCACTGACATGCTGATCTACTGGATTCACAGAGGCCTTCATCATAGACTTGTATATAAGGTAATAAGGTAGAGTCATTTGTAGGGGAAGAGAGAAAATACACATTTCAGCAATGTATAATTATAAATCCTGTCTCTATTTTCAAGAATTTCCTCTAACTTATTAAATACCTAAGTAGCCTTAGTCATGACAGGTACAAGGTACATTTTGTTTGTATCCTTCTTTATGGGTCTAGAGGGGCTGTGTTAAAATCTTACTGTCTTGGGGTAAAGAAGGGGAGGGAATTTTATAAAGTAATTTGCTAAATTCAAAGGGACTTTTTTAGTTAGGTCATTTCTCACACCATGAGCATGAAAAGCTAAGTCAGTTGTTGCACTGGGTAAAGTCTGTGGCATTAATGTGGTCTTCTTTTCTTCTGTAGCACTTACACAAACCTCATCATATCTGGAAGATTCCAACTCCATTTGCAAGTCATGCTTTTCATCCTCTGGATGGCTTCCTTCAGGGTCTACCTTACCACATATACCCATTTATCTTCCCATTACACAAGGTAGTTTATTTAGGTTTGTACGTCTTGGTCAATATCTGGACAATTTCTATTCATGATGGTGATTTTCGTGTTCCCCATATCTTCAGGCCATTTATTAATGGCTCAGCTCATCATACAGACCACCACATGCTCTTTGACTATAACTATGGACAGTATTTCACATTGTGGGATAGAATTGGAGGCTCATTCAAAAATCCCTCCTCCTTTGAAGGGAACGGACCACTTAATTATGTGAAGAAGATGATAGAAGAAAAGCGCAACAGCCATGCAGTAAGTGGTTGTAAAAATGAAAAATTATTCAATGGAGAGTTTACAAAGACTGAGTAGATTATTGCCCAATTATTAAATATTTTTAATCAAGGAAAATAATCTACAGCCAGGACGCATAGCAAGTGAACAGTATCATTTGAAAATCAGTATTGTGGGTACAGGTGAGGAACGACCATAATGGTAGAACAAGGGAACATGCCGTGAACACCATGACTTTAACCTTGTGCTCAAAATACTGAATGTTGGTCTAAGGGAGAAGCTGTGTCTTTCCAGCCAGTAGATCTGTAATTTGTATAGCCTCAACTCAACAACAGTTTTTTAAAAGGTAGAGGATAGATTATTGAGGGGGTTAGGTTATGTCCTTTTGCCTTAATTCATCCATATTCATTAAGTAAAATTCATTGTGCTTAATGATATCAAGACTAAACACCATAACAAAGAAGTACTAATATGAAGATGATTCCTTGTTTCAGGAATGATTAAATACTCAGAATTGGTATGATAACAACTACTTGTACTTTGTTGAAGTGGAAAAATCAGTGTGAAAAAATATCATGATATAATGTATTAGTAGCTCAGTGACCTGATTAATAGCAGGTGTTATAAGATTATTGTCTTCCTACACATAGAAAACTTATTCTCTGGAGACATTGTCAACTGTTACATTTTACTGATGAACAAATAAATTGGAATTTTAGAAAATATTAATACTACCATGATTTAATCCAGATCTGGGATTATTTAAAGATTTTGATGGTTATTGTTTTCAACCATTATTTAATAAGTGTAAAATTATATGACCCTGATTATATTTAGAAAGGGAAATTTGATGCCCAAATAATATATTAGACACCACTGGTTTTTTAAATTAAATTGATGCACTGCACTTTTGGTATGTTTCAAAGTTACAATCCTGTGATTTTCTATAAAAGGAAATAATTGCCAAATATTTAGGCCTATCACTGAAGATTAGTTTTGAAATCTTATTTCCCCTCCTCTTTCTTCATTTTTCCCCACTCCCTCTGCAAAAAGATTTAACAAATACTTTCATAAAGAAATGTCATGTGTTGTAACATAAATATGTTGGGAAAACATGGTTTCCAAAGGCATTCTCTAAGCTGTTTATGTAAAATCAATAAAAGTTGAGTATGACTATTATTAAAGTGTATCAGTTAAGTAATGTAACAGCACAAAGTATTCTTTACAAATTTTATGTCAATCCGAAACCACAGAAATGATGTGGGTTGTCAGAATTTTTAGAATATCTCCAAATGTTTGCTATCAAGGGGAGAAAGAGAGAAGGGAGTATCACTGTCTTTTTATATTTCACATCTTTTATTAGATTTGAGTGTTTTAGCAAGAGACCAGTCATAAAAGTTAATGCTTGGAATCCAGAAGAAAATGTTGTTTCTGTTTGAGTTCCTGTTACAGTGTTGCTTTACTTAAACATACCAGTATATCATTTAGTATTTTGTAACTGGTTCAGTGCAGCTAAGTGCTTTTCACTGATCCCCGTGGCCCCTGTGCTCCACTCTGCCCAAGAGATTGAAGGAAATTAAGAAGAAGTAAACTTTGTTTCCCATAAAAATGAAAGCTAATATTTATTGAGCTTTTACTCTTGATCAGGCATTGTTGAAAGTCCTTGACATAAGGACAATGGGACCCAGTTGTGTAACTTTTCCGAGGTTATTTCTCTCTCATGTAAAGTCCAGTGTGGATGTTTCAGGTCAGTGGACAGTTTTCCACAGTCGTCTGAGACCCAGGCTCCTTCCACCTGCGAGCTCTGCCGTTCTCCCAGTTTACAGCGTCTTCTCTGTTGAAGGAGCCTGTAGGGGAAGAGGGGAAAGTGCATGTGGAAAATTTGTATGGGTCAGGCCAGGATAGTTGTACATATCCCTTGCCCATGTTCCTTTGGACAAAACTTAGTTGTATGGCCTGTCTAACTGGAAGAGATCCTGGGAAATGTGTCCAACTATGTCTCTGGGAGGACAGGGTAACCAATTGCTTGACCAGCTAGCCATTTTGCCATTACCGTATAATTTATTTCCCTCCTTTTGAGGGTTCCAGTAAAGGTATTGAAGGGTTGAATGAGCTCAAAAGTATTTCAAGTTATCCATGCACTGGATGTCTTAGTGCTCTTAGTTCCATAACTTCAATTATGAGTGTTAAAGTTTCCTTAGATTGCTAATACTGTATAGCTAAAAAAAAGAAAGGATATAATTTATGGGGTGAGGGAAGCTTCCTCAAAGGTCTTAGTAGTAATCAAACTAGTCTCTGTCCTCCCTCCTTTTTTAAGTTCTATTCTTATTAAGCAGTATTATGTTAAGTAGTCTGACCATTTTTTTGGTACCACCACATCGTCCTGTTCTCCATTAGAGGAATTCACAGCGTTTATGGAAGTGAGGACCTAAATTCCTTCCCACAGGAATATCAAGTGAAAGACTTTCCCCCTTGACATTCAGACCTTCTATAGTTATAGAAAGAGAAAAATCAAGATTACATTTTCCACTGTTATGGTAGGAATTGGGAAATGGATGGAGGCAGTACAGAGCACATTTGAAAAACCCAAAGGCTTGGGGGGACCTTCAAGATGGCAAAGGAGTAAGACATGGAGATCACCTTCCTCCCCACAAATACATCAAAACTACATCTACACATGGAACAGCCCCTACAGAGCACCTACTGAATGCTGGCAGAAGACCTCAGACCTCCCAAAAGGCAAGAAAGTCCCCACGTACCTGGGTAGGGCAAAAGAAAAAAAACAGACAAAAGAATAGGGATGGGACCTGCACCTCTGGGAGGGAGCTGTGAAGGAGGAAAGGTTTCCACACATTATGAAGCCCCTTCACTGGCGGAGATGGGGGGATGTGAAGGGGGGAAGCTTCAGAGCCACAGAGGAGAGCGCAGCAGCAGGGCTGCAGGGGGCAAAGCGGAGAGATGCCTGCACAGAGGATCAGTGCCGACCAGCACTTATCAGCCCGAGAGGCTTGTCTGCTGACCCACCGGGGCAGGTGGGGGCTGGGAGCTGAGGCTCAGGCTTTGGAGGTCAGATCCCAGGGAGAGGACTGGGGTTGGCTGTGTGAAGACAGCCTGAAGGGGGGTAGTGTGCCACAGCTACCCGGGAGGGAGTCTGGGAAAACGTCTGGACCTGCTGAAGAGGCAAGAGACCATCGTTTTGGGGTGCATGAGGAGAGGGGTTTCCTGTACTGTGTGCCCACAGAAGGCAGAGCACCACCTAAGCAAGCGCCAGAGAGGGGTGTGAGCCATGGCTATCAGCTTAGACCTCAGAGACAGGCATGAACCACTAACGCTGCTGCCGCTGCCACCAAGAATCCTGTGTGCAAGTACAGGTCACTACACACATACACACAGATGCACACGCCCCCCCAGGAGCCTGTGAAGCATGCCACTGCCAGGGTCCCAAGATCCAGGGACAACTTCCCCAGGAGAATACATGGCGTGCTTCAGGCTGTTGCACAGTCACACTGGCCTCTGACACTGCAGGCTTGTGCTGCATTCCAATTATGACTACTGTACCCCTCCCTCTCTCTGGCCTGAGAGAGCAAGAGCCCCCTGATCAGCCACTGCTTTAACCCCCTCCTGTCTGGGTGGGGAACAGATGCCTGAGGGTGACCTACACGCAGAGGTGGGGCCAAAACAAAAGATAAACCCCAGGAGCTGTGTGAACAAAGAAGAGAAAGAGAAATTTCTCCCAGCAGCCTCAGGAGCAGCAGATTACATCCCCACAATCAACTAGATAAAACCTGCATCTGTGGAATACCTGAATAGACAATGAATGTTCCCAAATTTGAGGCAGTGGATTTTGGGAGCAACTGTAGACTTGGGTTTGCTGTCTGCAACTAATTTGTTTCTGATTTTTATGTTTATCTTAGTCTTTAATGCTTGTTAGCATTGGTGGATTTCTTTATCGGTGTGGCTGCTCTCTTCTTTTTTTCTTTAATTAAAAAAATTTTTATTTTATTTACTTTATTTTGTTATTATTTTTCTTCCTTTTCTTCTTAGCTGTGTGGCTGACAGGGTCTTGGTGCTCTGGCCTGGTGTCAGGCCTGAGCTTCCGAGGTGGGAGAGCCGAGTCCAGGACATTGGACCACCAGAGACCCACCAGCCCCATGTAATATCAATCAACAAGAGCTCTTCCAGAGATCTCCATCTCAAAACTGAGACTCAGCTCCACCCGACAGCCAGCAGGCTCCAGTGCTGGATGCCCCATGCCAAACAGCTAGCAAGACAAGAACACAACCACACCCATTAGCAGAGAGGCTGCCTAAAATCATAATAAGTTCACAAACACACCACCAGACATGGCCCTGCCAACCAGAAAGACAAGATCCAGTCCCACCCAGCAGAACACAAGCACCGGTACCCTCCACCAGGAAGCCTACACAAGCCACTGAACCAACCTCAACCACTGGGGGCAGACAACAAAAACAATAGGAACTACAAACTTGCAGCCTGCGAAAAGGAGACCCCGAACACAGTAAGGTAAACAAAATGAGAAGACAAAGAAATATGCAGTAGATGAATGAGCAAGGTAAAAACCCACCAGACCAAACGAAGAGGTAATAGGCAGTCTACCTGAAAAAGAATTCAGAATAATGTTAGTAAAGATGATCCAAAATCTTGGAGATAGAATACAGAAAATACAAGAAACGTTTAACAAAGACCTAGAAGAACTAAAGAGCAAACAAACAATGATGAACAACACAATAAATGAAATTAAAAATTTTCTAGAAGGAATCAATAGCAGAATAAATGAGGCAGAAGAACGGATAAATGACCTGAAAGATATAATAGTGGAAATAACTGCTGCACAGCAGAATAAAGAAAAAAGAATGAAAAGAATTGAGGACAGTCTCAGATACCTCTGGGACAACATTAAATGCACCAACATTCAAATTATAGGGGTCCCAGAGAAGAAGAAAAAAAAGTGCCTGAGAAAATATTTGAAGAGACTATAGTTGAAAACTTCCTTGACATGGGAAAGGAAATAGTCAATCAAGTCCAGGAAGTGCAGACAGTTCCATACAGCATAAATC